ATCCACATTTTTCCCAAGAAGTTCCCCAGTACCAGGTGGTTTGTTTTAATCAACCATCTCAGATCAGCATTACATAACAGAAGTAGATTTTTCATAGAATACATCAGTAAGTGTCCAAAACACTGGACCAGCTGAAACATTTTAGAATCATGTCTGTGAACATGAATGTGTAGCTCTAGCAAGGCGTTTCTCCTCAGGGATGGCTTAACCTGGAACCCAGAAAAGTCTTCTTCTGAGTCAAATGAGTTACAGCAACAATAGTTTTGCCTTTGTTGCGCACATGATTTTGTCATAGTGCGAAGGAAGAACAGAGTTCAATAAGCTTATAGAGCAGGCTGGGTTATTATCTCATCTTTATTTGCTAATAGCTGTTTGTGTGTGCCAGAACCTGATTTCATTATAAGCTGGCAGCAAGGGTAAAGGGGAGTAACCATTTCTCATTTATCTCCACTGTAAGTAGCTTACAGTATCTACCCAAAAGGGCCTTAAGACCCAAGTAGCTGGATTTGGTCTGTTTCTCACAACAAGGAACTGCCTAACAAACACATCCTTAATTATTTTCACTAAGACAGATGTTGTAGATGATCTAAGATGTTACACATCCTTAGATCGTTCCATAAAATCATGTGCTAAATAGGAATAGTATATGATTGTTGCTACAATGTGTGTAAATATATGCATTATAATTGCTTCAAGAGCAAACTGAAATTCATAAAAACTGCTCAACGATTGCCTTTTCTGTAACATCATAACAGTATAGCCACAATGCCATTAAAATAAGAGAGACATGGTAGCTCATGCCCAAAATTCCAGCTGAGGCAGGAGGAACACCATTTTGAGGGCAGCCTGGGATATACTGTGAGAATCTATTTCCCTTCTCTCCCCATTAAAATCACAAGAGAACAAAGAAACTGACTGACATTCAGACAAGTGACTGTCCAACAGGTAATTCCAGTGTAACTAATTCTGAATGCATTGTTTGTGGCTTACTGCCATATTACTGAAAGTTACATACACAGTGATCATTATCTCTCAAGCTACATTGTAAACTGAATTGTTGAGGTGATACTCTCTGCATAGATCATATTTTTTTCTGGAACAGTGGTAAATTTGTTATATGTATTTTCTTAGGGAGATGGCCTGTCCCTTTCATCATATTCTTCATAAAGTGTATTAAAAAATAAAACATTAGGAATTCTGCATTTACTTGGGAAGTACAGTATATTCTAGTTAAAGCTAAGAAGGGAAATGTTTGTTACAGGTTGAATTGTGTCCATTCCCCCCTTACGCCAGGTTAATAAATAGAAGGCCAAGCACCTAGAATGTGAGCTCAATACAAAGTGAGACCAGTGAGCCCCAAACCAACATAGCCAATATCCTGTTAAGAAAGTGAAATTTAGACAGATATGCGCTGATCTGAGAAGACAGTTGGAAGTTCCTGGAGCCTCTCCGTGGCTTTATGGTAGTCAGACCTCTGTTGCAGAAGGCTGTGTGAAAACAAGATGACCATCATGGGGCACAGCCTAGTACAGACCCATTACACGTGACAGAAGCACACTCTGCCAACAGCTTGAAGGTGGATTATTAACTTTCAAAATTGCAAGGTAAAATTCAGTTTCTTAAGGTACTTAGTTTGTAAGTTGGTCTTCATTGTGGAAGCCCCAGAAAAGTCACACATGAAATTGGCTTAAGTCCAAGACCAGTTGTTTTTCTTTCTTTCTTTTTTTCAGTTTTTACATGTTTTAATATATTTGTCTTTATCTCAAAAATACGTGCACTTTTTAATTTTTTTATTTATCTTTGAGAAGTTAGTTCTTTGAGGATTTCATACATGTACATAGTGATCTGTGTTCATCTCTGTGATCATCTTGAGTAAGAGCAGTTGCTATGTCTGTCTCAACATTCTCGAAACTCTGAACCTGACTTGAAACTTAGCAGATATGCAATGAAAATTTGTTTTCTCCTTTTTAAAATTTAAATTAGAAACAAGCTTCTTTTACATGTCAATCCCAGGTCCCTCTCCCTCCCCTCCATCCCTGTCCCCCACCAACCCTCTATCCCATCCCCTTTCTACTCCCAGGGAGGGTGAGGCCTTTCATGGGGGAATCTTCAAAGTCTGTCACATCATTTGGAGCAGGTCCTAGACCCTCCCTCATGTGTCTGGACTGAGAGAGCATCCCTCTATGTGGAATGGGATCTCAAAGTCCATTTAGTGTACTAGGGATAAATACTGATCCACTATTCCTAGTCAAGGTCTAGTTCACTTAGGATCCCATATACAAATTCATAAATTGACTTTTTCAGATTTCTCTAAGAAATATTAAGGAAAGAAAAAAATATCATTAGCTAAGATATAATACTCAGGATTGTATATACTTCCCTGGCAGCCTGACTCAGGGCTAGAAAACAGCATGTGAGGCGACCGGGTGACTTACTCTCGCTGTGGATACATCTTCTTCGTGTGTAAAATCAAATAGTTTCAAATTTTCTCTATAACTATAGCCTTCTTTATTAGCAATGAAAATATGTACTAAATAACAAAAAATAAGTGAAAACGTTTTGACATTTCCTTTCATGGCTAGTTAAGCAAAATACCGTCTAGTCTTTGCATAAATAGTTTGTTTTAAACACCACCTCTTAGTCTTGTCTTCCTGGATAAAAATTTCTATAGCAGAATTCTTTTCTTTTTCTTCTTCTTTTTTTCATACAGGGTTTCTCTGTGTAGCCCTGGCTGTCCTGGAACTCACTCTGAACCTTACTACCTCTAGAAGTATAACCAATTAGTAAATAGTTCTTAAACTGAAATGTAAGATAGGAATTTCCATATGACACAGAAAAAAGATGAACTCTTTACAAATCAAAATTAGATATCTTCAACTGTTACAAAACTGCAGGGTTTCTATTATGTCTCTGATCCTTTTTTTTTTTTTTAAACTATGAAGCTCTGGCAGTTCTGGAACTCAACTATGTAGAGAAGGCCTCCAAATCAAGAGTTCTACCCACCTCTGCCTCCAAGTGCTGGAATTAAAGGCAGATGGCACAACACCCAGCTTTTTCCTTCCTCTTAATCTGCAATTATAAAGTTCTCAATAGAGTTCCAAAGGAAAATCTATTACTATATCATACATTCTTTAATTTCTCCTGTGATTATTCCTAATCTGCTATTAGGTGTTCCATAAACCATAAGGGATAGGATCTCCCCTCTGAAATTGTGAGAGTCGATTATATTTCCTTTGGTAGGGCAAACAATAATTTCTATTAATATGTCTTCTACAACACACACATCTTTATCTTTTACATATGGATTCTGTAGTATTTAAATACACCTTAGATATTAGAGGCTGAAGGTAACAGAAAACACATCTTACATATAAAGTATTTCTCAAAGGTGATTATCAGTCATTATCCAATTGGGCTACCCTTCAGATATATTCAGAACATGATATTGCCTATTCAGTGACCTACTATTTTAGGATAAGAGGAGAGTGATGATATTTCTTCTTCTTTTTCTTTTCTTTTGTTTTTTTTTTTTTCAAGACAGGGTTTCTCGTATTGCTTTGGAGGTTGTCCTGGAATTCACTCTATAAACTAGGCTGGCCTCACTCACAGAGATCCACCTGCCTCTGCCTCCCAAGTGCTGGGATTAAAAGCGTGAGCCACCAACTCCTGTCGAGTGATATTTCTTAAAACTCAAGGTTTAAAAAAAATGTAAAATTTCCAGGTTTCTTTTTGTGTGTTTCAAAAGACTTTCTTTCTATTCCCTTCTTAAATCCCAGAATTATGAATTGAATGTTTTACAAAGACAAAGTGTTTAAAGTGGTGTGTGTGTGTGTGTGTGTCCGCGCATTGCTTGGGATCCAATGCAGTCAGCCTAAGCAAGCACTCTACCACAAGTCTACAAGTCCACCATCAAGATTTTTACCCTATGTGTTTCTAACTCTCCTGTCAGTCAGTGAACACAACTATATTAGCAAAATGGGCAATGACCACAACCTTTGACAATCTTGACAACACTAAAGAACAACCCAGTCCTAAGCATGTTGTTGGTGCATAATTTGTATTTTAGAATTGGGATAATTGAAAATACTCATCTTTCCCCAATTTATCTAGTTATCTTAGAGCAACATGTTACAGCTATTTTCAAGTTAACTTTAACCACCACTCCAAAGTGTAGACTTAAGCTAATTGCCCTAGCACATTTCGAAACTCCTGTGAAAGGTTGAAAGTCAGAGTACTGGAGCTGCCAACAAGAATGAAGAAATCTAACAGGAAAGCAACAGAAGAGAACTAGAGAGCAAATGTACCTATACAAGAACAGTGATTTGAAAAGAAACTTCATTGGGGGTAGGTTCCCGAGGTCCCGTAAGAGGAAGTGGGGGGACAGAATGAGGGGCAAAGGGCACGGAGAGAGCAGATAAAAGAGCCTCAGAGGTTCTCCTCTGACGGTTGAGCCCATCTCCTCTACATACCCCTTACTAGGATCAGTGAGTGGGCCCTGCCCTGCCTGTTTTACAAGTCACCTCTGTCACTCCTTTCTGCCAACCGTCCCCTTCCAAAGCACGTTGTCACTCACCTCCAAGAACTGTGCCCAGGAAGATGCATTTCTTTTTGTGACGTTTCAGAAAATTCCACATTGATCTCAGCATCTTCAGACCCTGGGTGTGTGGGTTGCCTAGGGGAGAGGGGCTGGCTCACCAGGACACCGTGGCTTCGTCCACCCGGGCCGGACCTCCGGCAGGAGCGTAGCGGCGGGGCTCGGTGCTCTTCGGGAACCACAAACGCTTCTTGGCACACAGGTTGTCGCCGGAGCGGAGCGGAGCGGAGGGAGGGGGCGTGGACTACAGCGGAGCAGCAGCGCTTTCGGTCCGCCGGTCGCTGCTTACTGGTCCGGGACGCCTGGGTCCGTCCACAAATAACTCCCGGGTGCCTCGCCTTTTTCTGTCTTCCCGGAAGCAAGGGCCCGCGCCCGCCGCGTTCCGCTGCTGTACACACTCTCTCCCCGGTCTCCTCGGCCTGGGTCCCTGAGTGGCGGCGGAATGGAGGAGAAGGTGGACTCCAGCACCGCTCCAGACGGCTCCTGCGTGGTGTCGGCACAGGAGACCGAAAAGTGGATGGAGGAGGCGATGCGAATGGTGAGCAAGCCGGCAGGTGGATGATGAGAGTGCAAACTTTGACCCCGGGTAGTTGAGCAAACGGGACTGGCGCGCTTTCTCATCACCACTATCTATCGGCTCCCAGAATATCTAAATCAACAGCTTGTTTTATTCTCGGGAAATTTTCTTTAACTTTGCCTTCTAGTAATTGGAGTTGGGGGAAAATACAGAGACTGCTGTACTGTATGTATTACATGTAGCCCTAGCTGCTAGTCAACCTCCCTGCCTGTCTTCCTTTCCATGGATAGACACATAATTTCACACCCACACTGCTACCTTATTTTGTGCCTTGCTCTCGACACCCTTGGACATATATAATGGAAAAGGCTGAAGAAGTTTCTGGTAGGGAAACTGAAAACATGTGACTACAATCCTCATCTATCATTCACTTACTCTTTCTACAACACTTTTCTCTGACCTTGTATTCCCTTTCTTGGATCCCTTTAGGGGCTGCTGAGTATGCAGGTCTCTGGTCATATTTACATGGTGTTCCAAGCTTTACCCATATTGATGTGTGCCAGGGAAAAAAGTCTTTCTGATGCTAGGTTTTCATTCTGTGAACAATATGGAATGTACTTGACAGGGATCTAGGTGGTGTAGCTGTCTACACACCAATTTGTTTACATCCTTATAAAGACCTTAAAACTGAACTCAGGCGTTGATGTAGGAATATTCTTTTTGTTTATTCTTTTACGAAGTTAAAATATTTCAACTTTTTATTCTGATGGTTACAAAATTCAAATTGATAAGAAATTAAAGTCTAGAAGATTTAGCAATTTACATAAAATTACCTAAAAGTCCTGACCTTAGAGATAACAAGGTTAACATTTTGTGAGCATTCTTCATATATTTCTGCCCTTGTGAAAACAGAAACACATTTTTCCATAAGTGGAATAGTTCTCCTTTTTATCATTATTAACCCCTTTCTTGCTTTGTGGTCTTTCTCAGAACCTGGGGTGAGATGAAGAGAGCCTTGTTCTTCAGTTTTGAAGTTGAGAATTTTTTAGCTTATGGAAGATCAAGTTACCATCTCAGGGGCAGAGCTTTGGCCTCTTCCAAAGAAGGCTGGCTTCTTAAGTTCAAAGCCATATACACGATGAGACCTGTTATACTTGTACTCTTTTGCCCTTGTGATGGGAGGTGCATTGGGAAGTCTGAGATAGGATGGGGTAACATGGATTTCTAGCTTTTATACAGGTTTTTGTTGTTGTTGTTATTATTATTGTTTGTTTGTTTTTTTTTCAAGACAGGGTTTCTCTGTGTAGCTTTGGAGGCTGTCCTGGAACTCTCCAAACTCAAGAGTTCTGCCTGCCTCTGCCTCCCTAGTGCTGGGATTAAAGGTGTGCACCACCAATGCCCGGCACTTTTGTACAGGTTTTGAACTTGTCAGTAGAGGAAATGTATATACATTTTTACATATCAGCAAACAGTGCCTCTAAATCGACTCACACAGACTCTGTATTCTTCTCACCTCCCTTTCTCTGGACTGCCATTACAGTTGCTCAGCCACTCACTCTCAGCATGGCCTACAAGGCCATTCCTTATCAGTAATGTTGTCTCTTTAAGGTGGTCCTATCATTTCTAGTCTGATAAATTTACTGGAAGGAAAAAGAGAGGACCCAGAGGAATTGGGAACCAAGACACCCAGTCCTCTGTTGACCTGGGAGCAGAGAAAGGCTGCTAGTATACCATGTCAGGTGCACAGTGGACAGGGCTCTTGGCACCCCCTATCTCTTTCCTTCTGCCTAGGTACTTCTACTTAGTTGAGGAGTTTAAAAAATATTTATTTGTGTGTGTGTGTGCGTTAGTGCGTGCGTGCGTGCGTGCGTGCGTGCGTGTGTGTGTGTGTGTGTGTGTGTGTGCGTGTGAAAGGCAAATATTACTGGTCCAGTCTTTGATTCTGTTCTGTGTGTTTGCTGCTCATGTCCTCACACCTCCAGTTCTTCAGGAAATAGGTTTACTGACAGCCTTCTTGCCAGCTTCCATTTATCCTCCTAGTTTTTAGTCTCAAACTCCTCATGTTTCTCCCTCTAACTCCCCTCTCTCCTTTCGTCCCTTGACCCACTCTAAACCCCAAACTGATAAAGAATCTGATCAGCGAAGTCGCTGGTTACTAAAGAGAGGTTAGAGGGAGAATGATGCAGAGGACCCAGCACCCAACGCTAATCGTTGCCCCAGTCATTTGTGGAGTGAGTAATGAAGAAAGTCAGATTTACTAGACTTTCATTACAGAGGTCTCAAACGGCTGAGTTATGTGACTTCTCTGTGCCTCAGTTTCCTACTTCATCTTCACCATGGAGATCAGTGTCCCCATCACATCGTTAAAAAGTGCTTAAATAGTCCCAGACCAAGCTGCACTTAAAAACTAAAGAACATGGACACCCCCATGGAGGGCCTCACCCTCCCTGGGGAAATGAGGGGATAGTGGGGGGGGGTTGGGGGGAGGGCACGGGAGGAGGGGAGGGAAAGGGAGAGGGACCTGGAACTGACTTGTGAAGCAACCTTGTTTCTTATCTAAATTTAAACTGAAAAATAAATAAATAAATAAATAATAAATAAATAAAACCAAAAGAACAACTCACCTACATATATTTCCTTCCTCTCAGAGTAAGAATACTTGAGAAGTTGACATAGCATGACCTCTTAACAGGTCTACTGGGAGAGGTCTGGTTGAAAGCTGAAAATCTGACCCACAGGAAATCATTTTCAAGACAATGCTTTTCTTTTCCACCTAAATTACTTTTCTCACTGACTTGACCCAGCTGATACCCCTTTCCTCTTTAGCCTGTATTTTTCTGCGGTCTTCTATATCAGCCAACACTCCTGCCTTGTGTTCTCCCTCAATAGACTTTCTAGATCCTTAGTGATAGTTACTAACTTTTCTTTTGAAATAATTATAAACCACAGGAAACTGCAAAAAGTTAAAATGGATATAGAAAGGATTTGCTCATGAAGTTTTCTTCAGGGTAACAGCTTGCCTAACTGTAGTACACTATCACAGCCAGGGAAATCTCATTGCTATGGTTCAAAAAACTTACTAAAGTTTCATCAGCTGATGGTGTATGTCATGTGTGTGTGTGTGTGTGTGTGTGTGTGTGTATGTGTTTCTGTGCAATGGGGATCATAGATGTTATACATATTTGTTTTTAAAAGAAACATCCAAATCTTTTCCAAGTTTGTGCCATTTTTACATGAAGTATCCCTAAACTTACATGTGACTCTTAGAAGTGTGGGACAGAGTGACATCCAGTCTGATTATTTTTATGGTATTGGCACTCCATGGGATTGTTTCTGTCTTCTCAGAGAAGAAAAAAAAAGTAATCAAGGGAAAGTATTGTTTAACAAAATATTTACTTATGTTATCTATTGTCCCACCTCTTTGTAAATATGCATATCATCTCTGAGAATGGGTGTCTGGCATTTGAAGAACACCGGCCGTTAGCCATTGATTATATGTGCTCCCAGTGAGAGAGAATGAGGCTCAGTGCCTGTGATGGGAGATGTTCCCGAGTCTTTCTTAACGTAGACACCTAGAAGAGAACCCAGCACTACATAGCACAATGGCAGCAGATTCGAGAAGGGGGAAGTGCGGGCGTGTTTGTCTTGGTCGTTATCCACACATCTGCCCTCATTTCACCCCTTCCTTTGCGTAGCCTTGCGAACCCTGCGCATCACCTCTGAGGTTCTCCACTTTGTGTTTCAGGCCAAGGACGCACTTGAAAACACTGAAGTTCCTGTTGGCTGTCTGATGGTCTATAACGATGAGGTTGTGGGGAAAGGAAGAAATGAAGTCAATCAGACAAAAAATGTGAGTTGAGCAGTATAAATGCAGAAACATACCATGGTGGGGACCGTGGTGGGGACCAGCTGGCAAGGCAAGACCTAATGTGACCTGTGGGTCAGTGCCTCCCCCCACACTTTTGTGAACATGCGGTTTGTGTGAGGGGTGTGGGGGGGTGCGTGCATGCGTGTGTGCGTGCATGCATGCTTGCGTGCCTGTGCAGGCTGCAGGTTGAGGTCAAGAGCCTTCCTCTGTCACTTTCCACCTTGCTTTTGAGACAGGATCTCTTACTGCACCTGGAGCGCATCCGTTCAGCTAGGGTAACTGGCCAGAGAACCCTAGGAATCCCTCTCGCTCATTTCCTTTCTTCTACACTGGGTTGTCTACGAATGCATGTGTCCGTGTCTGGGTATTTACATGGGTGCTGAGGGTCTGAATTCAGGTCCTCTCTTTTCCCAGCAAGCACTTTACCTATGGAACCATCTCCCAGCCTTAGATCTTTTTTCCCTCTTTTGTAAATGTGCATTTTTTCCTATTGTAACAGTGATATATACATATATATATGTGTGTGTGTGTATATATATATGTATATATATATATATATACTCAAATACTCAGAAGAGTTCAACAGAGCTATAAAATTCTAGTAGATTTTCTGTTTCTACATTTGTGATATTAGCCAAAAGCTAAGAAATGTTTTTCATTTCTTTGTTTTTTATTTCATTTTGTTTCCCTTTAACACTTGAGTGAAATCCGTGAAGGAATTTTGCTTCGTCAGAATGTCAGTGCAGAAGAAAGGAATCCAGGGCTGCTTGTAACAAATCCAACCTGGAAATCAACCTTTGCAAAGGAGATCCATTTAGCTTGCAATGCATTCCTTTTAGTTTCTTTACTTTTTTTTTTCTTTCTGGGAGGGAGGGGGAGCCCTCAATGTACGAATTGAGGGAAGCATAAAAGGATTTTATTGGAGATGACATAGTCAATGGGATAAGGTCTTCAAGACGAGCTGTCTTCAAGCCCATGCGATTCAGCTTTAATAACTGGTGGATGTGTTATGGTCAGATTGGAAAGGTCACGGTTTAAATCAGTGCTTCTTAAGCATGGTGGCACAACGGTGTGTCACTGTGGACATATTTGGGAAGTTGAAGTAGGTGATAGTGCTGTGCTACATTTTATGGTTATAAAGTACCAGATGGACTGAAGGATAACATAACTATAATATCATTCATGTGGACTTTGATCTAGTGTGCTTTTGGAGCCTAGAAGAGTCAACTCTCAGCACTGGGGCTCTGAGGCCTTTAAAGTTCATCCATCACAACCCTGAGGTTTAGCAAAACTCCTGTGAGGTAGGAACCCAAATCTATAAGCAGTTATGTCGGTATAAAAACATTCAAGGCAGATAATACATGCTGCAGTCAGAGGCTATGTTGATGCTTACTTAGCAGTTCTGTTTTAAATAATTGCCGTAGCACCTAATTTGTGTGATACAGTGTGCTTTACATGAGAACCAATGACCTAATCCCCACTAGCTTTGATTTCTTAGACAAAGTTAACCAGGAGTTAACCACCAGGGTTATTGCTATCATGTCTCACATAGACTCACCCTTTGAACACAGCATAGAAAGGCTCTAGACTGCAATGTGAGGAGCCCAGAGTCCTGCTTGGGGCTGTGATATCAACACTGTTATATTACTCCTCATGTCCTTTCCCTGTGTGTTCTCATTGTATGATTAGCCAGCTTAGCTTGTGTTTCTTTAGTGTTAGAAGAGCCATTTGGCCAAGGTGATTTCAGTTCAACTGGTATTTATCGAAAGCCTTGAGGATGCCATCTCTCAGGAATCCTGAATCTGAGCTTTACAGACTCTAGTTGGGGGAATCTTTGGTGTTAAGTTCTCTTGGTTTGCAGCCAGAGCCATGCCCTCTTCTATAGAGTCCCTCTGTCCCCCGTTTCTGATTCTGTAATCATGCAGGCTCGCTCCTGTCTGCCACTGACTGTCACAGCATCGTAGGCCAATGCCAACTCTTTTCTCACTGTGTTCCAGGTCACAGGAAAACAAGAACCTTTCTGTTAGCCTCGCCCAGGTTGTGCTTGTTGAGGACAGATTTTTTTTTTTTGAAATCACATATAGAATTCAGTTAGCTTGTATAGCAGGGCGGTGGTGGCACACACCTTTAATCCCAGCACCCGGGAGGCAGAGGCAGGTGGATCTCTGTGAGTTCAAGGCCAGCCTGGTCTACAGAGTGATTTTCAGGACAGGCTTCAAAGCTACATAGAGAAACCCTGTCTCAGAAAACAAAAACAAAGCCAAAAGATTTGGCTAGCTTGTATAGAGTTAGCACTCAGTTTCCATTTGTGTGCAAAGTAATTACATTTCTTTGTGAGATATTTGCACATGCTCTTTGGTGGGTCTTTGGTGGCCTTGTCCCAATCCCTCTCCCCCACAGCTAGCTAGTGCCCTTCTGCTTTCTTGTCACATGTAGTGTGCTGTCCTCTGTTTATTTGTTTTGGTTTGTTTGTGTATTTCAAGACAGGGTTTCTCAGTGTAGCCCTGGCTGTGCTGGAGCTTGCTTTGTAGGCCAGGCTGACCTTGAGCTCAGAGATCTGCCTACCTCTCTGCCTTCTAAGCACTGGGATTAAAGGAGTGCTCCACCACTGCCAGGCAGCCCTCTTTCTTTTCATTCTTTTCCCACTTCCCCAACTCACTCTTCCTTGATAACTCTTAATCCCCTTTCATGGTTTTATGATCTGTACCCTTACATGTATACATATATGAAATTTTAAATCTTTGTCCATCTTTGAGAGAAAACATGCAGTGTTCTGAATCTGGGTTACTGTGCATAAGAAAAATACTTTGGGGGTTGGGAAAACATGGTAAGATTGCTTGCTCTGCAAGCAAAAGGTCTCTGAATTTTAGTCCCCAGCACCCACATAAAAAACTAGGTATAGACATTCAGGTGACTGTAGCCCCCAAGCTGTGGGAGATTTAGATCGGACAGTATCTAGGATTGCTGCAACCATGCCTGGTTTCAGTGAAAGACTCTGTCTTAAAGGAATAAGAGAGAGAGTGATGGGTGGGGAACCTGACATCCTCCCCTAACCTCTATATTCATGCAAATGGGTGCACATGCCTTCACACACATGTACTTATAAGAATGATCCAATAGGGTCACATATTTGAGTGTGTGGTTCCCAGTTGGGGAATTGCTTAGCATGGACTAAGAGGTGTTGCCTTGTTGGAGGAGGTGTGTCAGTAGGGGTGGGCATTGAGGCCTCAAAAGCCCAGGGCGCTCTCTCTCTCTCTCTCTCTCTCTCTCTCTCTCTCTCTCTCTCTCTCTCTCTCTCTCTCTCTCTCTCTCTCTGCCTGTGGATCAGGGTGTAGCTTTCAGCTGCTTCTTCTCCAGCACCATGTCTGCTTGCCATGATGATCATGGGTTAACCCTCTGTACCTCTAAGCCAGCCCCCAGTTAAATGCTTTCTTCTATGAGTTGCCGTGGTCATGGTGTCTCTTCACAGCAAGGTGTAGTTGGTGGCAAAGATTCTCTCCAATTCTGAAGCCCCTCTCTTCAGTCTGCATTTAGTTTTCCTTGTTATACAGCAAGCAGTCCCTCAAGATGTTAATTACCTGGGCTGTTGGAATTTTTTTCAGAAAATTTTTGCTTATACCTATCTCTTGAAGTAGTTCCCAATTTTTGTCTTGGGGCTAAAACATTTCAGATTTTATATTAACATCTTTAATCCATTTGACATTGATTTTTGTATGGGATGAAAGAAAAAGGTTGTTTAATATTGTAGTCATGGAAATCCATTCTTCTCAGCACCATTTGTTGAAGAGGCTATCTTTTTTCCAATGCATGTTTTTATACTTGCCAAATATCAGGTGCTTATATTTATGTGGATTTGTTTGGGGTCTTCTATTCTATTTCACTGATCTTTATACCTGTTTTTGTGCCAGTACCTACTGTTTTGTCATGATGGATCTGTAGAGTATTTTGAGGTCAGGTATTGTAATATATCTCTCCATAATTGTTCTTTTTGCTTAGGATTGCTTTAGCTTAATATGGAGTCTTTTGTGATTCCATATTAAGGTTAGTTTTGCAAAGGTTATAGTTTTGCAAAGAATGCCATTAAATTTTTGATGGGGATTGCACTGACTCTGTAGACTGTCTCAGTAATACAGCTATTTTCACAATATTCTGCTAATCCATGCTCATGGGCAGGCTTTCTGTTTTCTATTTCCTTAAATTTCTTTCTTGAATGTCTTAAGTTTTTCACTAGTAGTATAGAGGTCTTTGACATCATTAACACAATTTACTTCTAGATATTTTTAACAGCTATTATCAAAGTGAGATATATTTTTCCTGATTTCTTTCTTAGTTAGTTATTGGTATATATCTACTGTTTTTTGTCTAAGTTTTTGTTCTGCCACTTTGTTGAAAGTGTCAGGTGTAAAGATTTTCTGGTGGAATCCACAAGGTTCCTTAAGTACAGGATCATGTCATCCAAAAAACGAGATAATTTCACTTCTTCCCCTCTGATGTATATGCCTTTCATTTCCTTCTCTGGTCCTAGTGCTCTAGTTAAGACTTTGAACACTATTTTGAATAAGAGGAGAAAAACTGATCCCTCTTGTCTCATTGTGTGATTTCAAGAAAATGTTTTAAGTTTTTTCCTCACTTAGCTTATTGGCTGTAGGCTTGTCATTTATGGCAGTTATCATATAAAGATATAGTACCTCTATTCTTACTTTTTTCAGGACTTCTTATCATGTATGTATGTTGAATTTTGTCTATTTCCTTTTCTGCATCTATTGAGATGACCCTGTTATTTATGTCTTTAAGACTATTATATAGTACATTGCACTTATTGATTTGTATATGTTGAACCATCTGCTTACCTCTGGAATGAAATCAGCATGATTGTGTTGGGTGAACTACTACATTCTCACATTAGTTTGTGAGAATATTGAGAAATTTTGCATCTATGTTCATCAAGAAACATGATCTACATTTCCTTTCTTTGCTGTACTCTCATCTGGTTTTGTTATCAGGTTAAGACTTACATTGTAATGAAGGGACCAACCCCCACCCCTCCATATTAGCAGCCTTATCAGGCTAACATGTGCTTGCCTGACCTTGCCACTCCTGTCCTGGTCACTAGGAGGTCAGATACTCTCCTCATGGCAAGGAACCAATCAGGAGTGGCAGGGCTGTGCTTTACGACTCTAGGGGTGCTTTACGGACAAGTGCACAACAGTGATGTGCAGAGTATAGCAACTGCCCTGGGAGGGCCTATGGGCCATAACAACCAGTTGACCAGTCAGCATAGGGCAAGTCATCGAAGCCTTGAAGTGCACCAATCCTGAGACTGTTTGCTTTTGCATCAAAATGGGCACAACAGCAGGAGATAGTAACGTTCTTTCCCTTTTCATTTTGTGGAACTATCTGAGGAATACTGGTGTTAGGTCTTTCTTAAAAGCTTGGTAGAATTTGGCCATGAATCCATCCATTCCTGGGCTTTTCTTTGTGGGAGACTTTTGACTATTGTTTCAGTATCATTAGTTATTATAGGTGTAACCTGTCTACATCTTCTTGACATGTGTTTAGGCGTTTGCCTTAAGTTATTTTAGAGGTTTGTTTTCTTTTATGTGTGTGTTGTGTGACACTACTCTGGAGAGATGTGAACGAATGCCTGCTCACTTCAGATGAGGAACCAACAACAGACCCAAAGAAGGGGAATCACCAAAGCTTGGTGAACCAATTGATTTTATTTGGGTTACTTACAAGAGCAGAAATGACACCTGCCCCAGCCTGTGTGATGACTCACGCAAGCTGGAAACCTGCACAGGTTGTGAGCAGCTCAGCAAGTTGGAGAACATTTCTTTCAAGCACCTCAGGTGTTCTGAGCAGTATGTCGGCTGGTCTAGGAGTGGAGTGTGGAGTCTTTCTTTTTTTTTTTTTTTTTTTTTTTTTGGTTTTTCGAGACAGGGTTTCTCTGTGGCTTTGGAGGCTGTCCTGGAACTAGCTCTTATAGACCAGGCTGGTCTCGAACTCACAAAGATCCGCCTGCCTCTGCCTCCCGAGTGCTGGGATTAAAGGCGTGCGCCACCAACGCCCGGCAGGAGTGGAGTCTCTTTTTGTTGTTTAGGTTTTGTTGTTGTTGTTGTTGTTGTTGTTGTTGTTTTGTAGACCAGGCTGGCCTCAAACTCAGAGATCTGCCTGCCTCTGCCTCCGGTGTGCTAGGGTTAAAGGGCACCACCACTGCCGGGCTGTAAGAGTGTCCCTTATCAGCCCTTACTGATTGCTTATATGCACTTGAGGAAGGAGGGGTATCCAGTCAGTCTCAGGGACCTTGATATGTTTGCTTCCTGCAGGATGGAATGTTTCACCTCCCCTAGAACAATAGTTCCAAACCTGTGGTTCACAGCCCCTTTGGCGGACTGGGGTGGTCAAACAACCCATTCACAGTGGTCGCCTAAGACCATTGGAAAACACATTTACATTATGATTTATAACAGTAGCAAAATTACAATTAAGAAGTAGCAAGAAAAAAAAAATCTATGGTTAGGGTTACCACAACGTGAAAAACTGTATTAAAGGGTCACAATATTAGGGAGGCTGAGATCCACTGCTCTAGAACATTCTGGATCTTAAAGAACTCATGTCAAAAGTAGAAGGCTTTATCTCAGAGGAAACTGGTACATGACAGTGGTGTGTGTGTGTGTGTGTTTTGTGTGCACGCGTGCACATGTGTGCCATATTTGTGCAGGGGCCTTCAGAGGCAAGAAAGGAGTGTTGGAGCTCACTGGAGTTACAAACTACTGTGAGCCACCCAGTGTGGGCATTAGAAACTGAATTCTGGTGTTCTACAAGAGCAGCAAGTGTTCTTAATCTTCTAGCTATCCCTTCACCCCTGCAGTAAAACTGTTAATAAGGAGAAAGAAGATGAAGAGTACCTAAACAGCATCCTGCCACACAGTGCTGGGAGAGACTCAGATTGCTCAGGAGCTGTAGAGGAGATAACAATAAACTCTAGACACTGAGGATGCAAAGCTTGCCTGAGACCAATAGTGCATCATAGTCAGGGTTCAAATGTGAGTGGGATTGATTCCACACGGATGCTGGGTGATTTCTCCTGTACTGCTACTGTCTCCCACAGACTAGCTGAAGTCTCAGGTCTATGTCTTTAGAGTCAGTTGTGTTGTGAAATCTCTCATCAGTGTGCATGATGATGTTCTAGGGACCTCAGTGAAGCCCTGCCTTCCAGTAGGGTCAGTTGAAAAATCTATCTGAAACTAGAACACAAGCTTATGAAAATTTCAGCCTTCCCTTAAAGTATCCAGAAGTCACATACATGTTTGCTTTTTAGTTTTTTTATTTGAGATTTATTATCTCTGTAACATTTTAATGAAAGCTTTCCCCCCAAGGTACATGGGAATTTTACTAAAACCGTGGCAAGGTTTGTGTACTATCGTGGATTAGGCATCCCTGTTGGTAATGAATTTGAGCTGGGGAGCTACTGAGGGCATCCTGAAACCTAATGTTCCAAGGCAGCCAGAAACAGTAGAAATGATCCGGGCGTTAGTGGCATATGCCTTTAATCCCAGCACTCGGGAGGCAGAGGCAGGTGGAGCTCTGTGAGTTCGAGGCCAGCCTGGTCTACAAGAGCTAGTTCCAGGACAGCCTCGAAGACAGCCTCCAAAGCAGTACAGAGAAACCCTGTCTAGAAAAAAAAAGAAAGAAAGAAATGGTAGGAATGCTTTTTGAACTTATGTTTTGCATATTTTAAAGACATCAGCTGTATGAAATGAACAGCATCAATGCACTCTCTCTCTTTTAAGGCTACTCGGCATGCTGAAATGGTGGCCATTGATCAGGTCCTAGACTGGTGCCGTCGACACAGCCGGAGTCCTGCTGAAGTGTTTGAGCACACCGTGCTGTACGTCACCGTGGAGCCATGCATCATGTGCGCAGCTGCCGTCCGCCTCATGAGTATCCTTTGGCTCAGGCTTTCCTGTCTTTTCCTTGCCCGAGAGCAAGAAGATGGCCGGATGCATAGCACATTTGCTCTCTCTTTACTGTTAGTTTTTCTTTCCGATGTTGAGGGCCGAAGCCAGGCTCTTGCATGTGCCAAGTGTGTGCTCTATCATGGAGCTACACCCCTCCCCAGCTTCCAGTTGCTTAAAGTGTGGAAACAGTCATGAGACACATTGTATAATGTAGCCAGAGACAGTAAAGATGCTTTTTACACAGTAAAGTTACATGTTCTTTCTCTGTGTCAAAAGCCACAGAATTATTGAATCCATAAGCTACAGCAAGCAAAGGTTGGAACTAACTTAAACTCCTGTGTAAGTATGAGTCAAAATTAAGTTAGAGCCCAGAACACATCCTGACGAATGTGCTTTGCCTTTGGATGACAGATTTAAATATTTTCTCTCAATCTGTTTTTGTCATGACAAAGGACAAAAAAATTAAGTTTAGGGTAACTAAGAAGTGAATATGTCATCTGATGTCATCATTGTACATGCATGCAAATTAGTAAGTTAGTGTTCTGTGGTTGGACTGTGTCTTGCATAGAGTGAGCAACATATATGCTGAGTGTAGTCAGTCGCTAGAGTTTATTTATTTCTTTGTTTGCTTATTTTATAGCACTTGTGAATGCTAGGCAAGCACGTCTTTGTTCTTGTGTCTTGCTTTTAAAATTATGTGTGGTTTTATCACTTAAAACAATGTAGAGAGCCTTTTGTGTACAATAAAGCATTCTGTCTCCATGGAACAGGAGTTGTTGACACTGTTATTAGAGGATTTATTAGGCCGTTTTCCTCTCCTGCCTTGCAGAGAGAACAGGGAACAATGTGACTGGTTTTCTGACTTTTCTTTGCATGATTATCTTGGTTTGGTTTCTTATTTTTGCTTTGAGACTGGCTCTCACATAGCCCAGGCTGGCTCTCACATAGCCCAGGCTGGCATGACACTTACAGTAGTGGTTGGCTTTAAGATCCTAACTCTCTACCATTGAAAGGCTGGGATTATAGGCACATGCCACCTCCCCAGGCTACCATCCACCCTTTTACATTTTAAATAAATTTATTTACTTATCGTGAGGGGCAATGAGTATGCCATGGCGTTTGTGTGGCAATCAGAGGACAACTTTCAGAAATCCGTTTTCTTCTTCTACAGTGGATTTCAGGAAGTAAACTACATATTTTTAAAAGGTGAAATAATGAATTAACTTTCTAATTCTGCAATGATTCTCCAAAAGTGACTTTGGAAAGAGCAGAGAATCGACTGAACTGCATATTAAATAAGAACAGTCTCTGTTCTGTTTACAATATCCAGGTCTTCATCGCTTTTGAATTTGTGATTTATTATTATTATGTGGGCAAGCACATGCCATGGTTCTTTTTCCACTGTTACGTGGGCTCTCAGGATCAAACCCAGGTTGTCATGCCTGCATGGCGAGGCTTTGCCAACCGGGGCATCTTGCTGACCCGCAACTGCCAGAGTTTGATTTCTAGATACTCAAAACCTCTTTCTCTTCTTTTGTACAAGTGAACTTTATTATTTGAATCCACGAACTTCCATTGTTTTGAAGTCTGGATGAGCTTTCTAAGGTGGTTAGCATCAGCCTGCCCTTGCCATGGTTCTGCACATCTGTGACCGACTTTAATTCTGTACTATAAATCCCACTGGTCGTCTATGGCTGTCAGAATGAACGGTTTGGTGGTTGTGGTTCCGTCCTAAACATTGCCTCTGCTGACCTACCCAGTACCGGGAGACCGTTCCAGGTAACAGGTTCTGCTTATGCTCTCCCTCCCTCCCTCCCTCTCTCCTTCCCTCACTCCCTCCCTATTTTCACCCTCACCCCTTTCTTCTTTTTAACCATCTCCTAATGGATAGGCCAATTGTGTGTGGTCAGTATTCCAAAAGCCCATGACAGAATCTGACAATATCTTGGCCCTGGGTCGAGTTCTTGCATCTCATTGAAGGAAAATGTGCGTCCCTTCTCTTCGCTTCCAGAATCCATCCTGCAGGAGAGGCTGCAACTTCCCTGAACTGTTAGCTCCTAATGGGGTTCACTGGCACTTTAGAGACTATCTCTGTTGGAGCAAATGCTGGCTCTGTAATGTGGTGAGGGAACTTGGCCTGCATTAGCCACCCGGATGCTATTCACAGCCAACAGTAGTTAGGCACAAATGCCATCACTTTGTCACACACCATTATTATTATCTGGTTGTCACTGTGGAAGTCTTGTAAGCATTAGGAATCTACACTGTCTGGTTGCATACCTGATTGTCTACACTTTTTTTCAAGATGGAGGATTGATCCCAAGGCATTATACTTGAAAAAGCAAAAGCTTCAATAAATGCTGGAGTTTCCCCTGAAGACCTCACGTGTTCACAGGCTGTGGTGAGGACTTGCAGAACCCCAGTCCAGCCCAGAGCAAGTTCTGCAGAGCATTCTGCCTTGAGTTTTCCAGCTGAGTGTCAGCTCTCCTAACCACTGTTGTATTTAAGAACAGACGTCTTTACTATCCCATCAGAGAGAAACTGTGAGAGAGTGATGGGGAGTAAATGAGGTCGATTATTAAAGATGTCTGCATGTGACTTCATTTTTCCAGTCGTTTCTAGGAGCCGCCCAAACGCTGCTTATGTAACCGCACAAGCTGCTGGCTCTGTACATGTGGTGACACCTAAATAATTTCTCAGAGCGTCTGGACAAAACTAAGACGTGTCCTTGGGGGTCAGACATAGGTGAAACATTACTTTCTAAAATGTAGGTGAGGAGCCGAAGAGACAGCTCAGTCAGTGAGTAAAGTGCTTGGCATGCAGCGTGAGGACCTGACAGCCAGATGCAGAAGCCGGTATCTAGAATACAGGGGTCCCGTGGTGAGATGGGATGGGAGACTAGGAGAGTCCTGGCCAGCTGGCCTCCTGTACTTAGTGTCCAACAATGGGGGACTCGGTGTCCACGGGTGCAATATGAGAGCAGACACTGGGGCTTGTGCTCCGCGCTCCACTTGCCTGCTAGCTTGTACGCAATCCATCTTTCTCAGCCCAGAAAGGTCATTTACAGTTCATCTGTATGGCCATGCTGGCACAGTGGAAAATAGATGCCCATGGCTTGAAAGCCTAGATCAAGGGTTAATGCCAAATTGTATTCTAAGGAGGTCTTTGGAAGTGCTAACACCTTGGTAGTCCAGGCTTCTGGATGCTGTGTTTTCTTCCTTTCCTTTGACTGGGCTCATGGGACAAAGAACAAAGGGGAGATGGAATTTCACGTCACGGTTACAGATTCCATAGGTCATAATGCTGAGTTATTAGCAGCATAAAATTTACAGAGTCCTGTGAAACTATTGTTTTTTTTAAAGATGGGTATTCATTTTAATATCTCGTCTCTTTAAAACATTTATTTTTGTAAGAATACTATTTCTGTTAAAAGCTACACATGGGTAGCTCTAGTTCGTATGTTACAATGCCCATGTGCTAGCTAGACCCATTGTTTCTATTATTATTTTTTCCCACCTCCGTGTTTCTCCACGTTTCTCCGTGTTTCTCCTTGGACCCCACTTTAGAATCTCCTGGAGGGATTTTGCATTCCTCTGTGCTGAGACCGTGGGCCAGATGGATGAGCCTCTGTGCTCGTGGAGGTTGCCCATGTAATTAACAGCATCAGTGGAGCAGCTCTGCTCTCCCAGCCTCTGGGGAAGACGGCCTGGTGGGTTCAGACGCACATTTGCCGAGTGAGGGACGAGGTGCCGGACGGCACCAGTCCCTGCACACACTGAGCCACAGCGGTTAGGATGGCAGATTGAGAAACCAAGGGAGGAGAGGATTCTAGATGAAGCTTGTATGTCCAGTCATCACGTAACTACAGAGCTGTGCCGCGAAGGAGACGATGTTTCTATCAGTGAGTGCCTTGCGGTGCCTGAGAGACAGCTGGAGGAAATGAGACCGAAGGTGAAGTCTGGAATGTTCTCAGGCAAGAGCAGGCCAGTGCTTTGGAAAGGGAAGCTCATTCTTAGCAATGCCCCAGAGAGGCTAGCCTGCAGTCTGCAGGTGCTTGGCTGGGCATCGTTTTGAGGATGACTGTATCGTTCCTTAAACCTCAGCAGGGTGGGTTAAAGCCTTTCCTGTCTCCCCAGCCGAGTGCCAAACCTCCGAGCGTTTGGCCCCATCCCATATGTGTTTAATTTCTTCCCCTGCCCTACCAAACCCTTCAGCCTGCTTCCACTCACACTGCCCATCCCCCATCCTAGCTTCCGTACATTTTCAGGTTCATTTTTACCCCACACTTCATCCGTTGTTCCTTACAGCTCTCATTTCTCATTTGTTCTGTCATTGTCATCTCTTCTGCCCAAACCCCAGAGTGAAAACAAACTCAGCAGTTTTCTTAAATCTTCCATACCAAACTTGAAAAATGTTTCCTGGAAAGGACCGGATAGTGAATATTTTTAGCTCTTGTGAGAAACATGTCTCTGTCAAATAGTGTTTTGTTTAATAATATTAAAAAAAATCTCTTAGAAGTATAAAAACAATTGCTAGCTTGTCATTCGTAGCTGCGGACTAGGCTTTTTTCCACCGTGAATAGTTTTACCTGAACCAGGTGAATAGCATCCCACGCTTGGTGAATCCCTAGAAAATAACGGCAGGTACACCTTGTCGTGCTTCACGAGCCCCTGTTTGGCATCTCATTTAACCAGCACAGCATCCCTCTGTAGTCTGTTACATACCAGAAAGAGACTGAGTACCAACAGTGGTGACTGATTGAGAGAGACACTGGGCTAAGGCTGGGAACCAGTTCCTTTGGAAATCTACATCTTTACCCATGCTGATACTTGTCCTGATTAGTGCATACTGTGTGGCGTCTGTTCATGTCATAGCTGTGTATACATTGCTGTTGGGGTGTAACCCACACACGGTCACTGCCAATGCTCACCTCCTCCTCCTCCTCCCTTCCTCAGTGCATCCCGGGATATCGTGCTGAGGAGGCTGTGGAGCTCCTAAAGACCTTCTACAAACAAGAAAACCCAAATGGTCAGTTCTCTCCAATTGCACAGTGTCCCACCTTGAAGCAACTTGGTGAGCAAAAAGTTTGGTGTTCCTCATTCTCCGTTTCTGTCTCTCCCTCTCTCTCTTTTCAGCACCCAAATCAAAAGTTCGGAAAAAGGATTGTCAGAAATCCTGATGTTCTGATGAAAGACTGGTGCCCTTTGGAGACCTGGACAGAATTCCCGACTGAGAGCCGTTGGTGTTGCTGGTCATGCTTATATGTTGTTGTTACTGTGTGGGAAAATGGTGTCTCTCGTCATGTCATTTGCTCTGTTAAGGGAACAAATGAGCCCTTTTTAAAGTCTGACAAATGTAAACAGCTATTAGCTCTTCCTGAGCTGAAAGAGTGTCTCAGGGAGGGGGAGGATTAAGATTTGAAGTCACAGAGATCCCTAAGCAGTGCCCGCCCTTCAGCTACAGTTTTCGTCCTGGTCTTTAAGAAGCTGTTCGAGATCAGGGCAGGAGAAGGCTGAGTGACAAACTGCTTGCTGTGCAAGCAAGAGGCCTCCACCCCCAGCACCCACAAATGCCAGGCGGGCTTGGTGGCCCTACCTGCAGTTCCAGTGCTTAGAAGGCAGAGTTGGTTTCCAAGATCCCAATGCACGCAAGTTAGGTCAGCCCTTCTTGGTGAGCTCTGTGTTCAAATGAGAGATCCTGCCTCAGTGAGGAAAGTGAAGAGTGATCTAGGAGGCCCCCAGGATTCAACCCTAGACCTCACACACACACACACACACACACACACACACACACACACACACACACACACACGTGCATGCACACACACGTGCATACACAAGATGCACATACTTACATCGACACCATACACATACACAAGCAAGCAAAAAGAAAAAGGAAGAAAGGAAAAAGAAAAGAGTCTTTGGAAGCTTGATCAAAGGAAGTAGAAGGAGGAAAGCCAGCCTTGGGCTTTTACTGAGTGTGTGCAAACCCAGTCCTGCACATGGCTCCACCAGGCCTTGGGGACCTGGGCTCATGCTAGTTTGTAGTGTGGCTTTATGTATATGTCAGGGATTCGTGCATGGGTGTGGAGGCAAAGGACAATCTCAGGTGCCTTTCCTTAGAGGTAGCCCCGCCCCTCCTCTTCCTACTGTGGTTTTTGGTTTGGTTGGTTTGTTTTCTTTTTTTAGGCTAGGTTTCTTACTGGCCTGAATTTTATCATTTAACCAGGCCGGCTGGCCAGGAATGCCCAGGGTGTCACCTGTGTCCTCTAGGGCAGGAATTACAGGGATGCACCTTCCCTCCTTCCCTTCCTCCCTGCCCTCACCTTCCCTCCCTCCCTTCCTCCCTGGCTCCCACCTCCCCTCCCTCCCTTCTTTCTTGCTTGTTTTTAAATGTGAGTTTCAGAGATTGAACTCAGGTCCTTCTGCCACTAAACTGACTGATAATCTTCTCTCCAACCCTAGAACATTTTTAAAAAGTATTTAGGTAAAATGGTTGCTTTTAAAGTAAGTGCTTAAGGGTCATTTTAAAATCATAGCATATTGCTACAATAAAATTGTGTCCCTGCCTTCTTTGAAGAGGAGCAGTGTTAACTCATGGGTGCTAGAGAGATGGTTCAGGGGTTAAGGATATATACTGTTCTTTCAGAGGATACAAGTCTGGTTCCAGCACCTACACGGCAGCTCACACGGCCTGTAATTCTAGTTCCAGGAACTCGAATACCCTCTTCTGGACTCCATGGGCACCTACACTTACATGCGCACACACTCCCACAATTTACACAGACACACGCACAATTAAAAAATGTTTTACAGATAAAACTGAAAGTGTAGTTCCTTATAATAGAGCAACTATTGTGTTAAGGGCCATCTCTTCCTAGAACAAAACACATTATACTTCAAAACAAAAGACCTTGTATTCTCATGAGAGATGAGTGAAAAATTATGTGACTTGCTGGAGAATGCCAGGTGCTGCCAGGCACAATGGTACACACTGTAACGCCAGCACTGGGGAGGTAAAGCAAGAGGATTGTGACTTCAACCCCCCTCCCCAAATTACAGCCAGATGATACCTGGGATAAGAATGTAGGAATGATGGTTACGGGGTGAATAAAATGATTAATGTAATCCGGAATGTCAAAGCCATTACTCTTTCATATACAACTGATAAAATTTAAATCGAGTAGGTAAAAATTTGACCTCACAACAAAATCTCCAAGAAGGGTCACGAATGCAAGGTGCAGTGCGCGTCTCTGCCCAACAGGGGGCCTCGCCGTTCCACCGCAGGGCCAGCGCCAGCGCCGCCACAGTGGCATTTCTTCATCGCATTCAAGTCCTTGATGCAAAGCGGCTGTGTTTGTTGACTCTGCTATTTGAGCGCTGTCTCCGACTTGTTTGTTTTGAATTACATTACAGGCTGGAATGTGATTGTGGCGGTAGTATTGCTGGGGTGGGGGGAGGGTTGGGGGGGGAGGCAGCTAATCACAGTTACATGCTTCAGGGGATTTATAATTTCGTGGTTTTGTGCGTGTGTGTTTGTTTTTAATAGCATTTCAGAAGTTTTATGGGCAAAGAATGCTCACAATTTAAATTTACAATAATGGGCTGCACACCTTCTCTTTGGTTTTAATCTACTCTAAGAAATTGTCTTCTCATTAAATTTCAGTGCTTTGACTAGTGTGTTCCTTTTTGCAGTTGCTCTTAATTCACTTCTGGCAGACATCATTACATTTATTGACTTCATATCACTTTCTGGGTATTATCTGTAGGCCAAGTAACCCCGGGATCTTTCTCTGTAGAGTGCCACTGGGTCATGTTGGCTGTGGGTTCATGGTAAACTTTTAATAAAGTGATTAGTTTGAATTTAGGGAGAAATGAATAAAAAGACTAAGTAAGGCAAAAACATAGAGCCAGAAATTGTGTGTGGGCATTTTATTCCTGAGACAAGTACTGATTAGGAAGGGAAGAGATAACACCAGAAAGTCAAGCAGTGAGCCTGTTTTCCCTTCTCGGTCTCAGCAGATGGCTAAGTGACATTTCCTGATTCCTAAGCAGGGTCGAACAGTTTAATTTCCCTTTCCACCTTTTACATTCTCTTTCCAGTTACTGACAGAGTCTTTGGACACAGCATGGATAGTTCCTGTGGGAAAACCACTTTGGATGGATTGTTGTAGATTAGGAACCAGCACAACCACTGCTGGGTCAGGGTCCCTGTGGATGTCACAGACACCAAGTCTGCAGGATTCAAAAAGATGCCCACCTGATGTTGATGTGCACATGTATTCAGTGAAACAGTCTCGAGTGCTGGTCCCTCCAGCAGTCTTAACCGTAGCTTAAAATGTTAAGAAGCCAGCTTGAAAAGCTTATATTCAACCGAACCATCTGGGGTGTGCCTGCAGAAGAGATCAACTAAGAGTCATTCTGTGTGCATGAGATAGTTAGGAAGGTGTAGGACACAGGCAGGCTGTAGAGCCTCTCTGCCCCATTAAGAAAAAGTAGGGAAACTGGTTACATCTAAGCTGCTGGAGGACCCAATGTTTGCTGTTTTTTTTTTTTTTTTTTTTTTAGCAGAATTTGAGAATGGGTGGTTACATAATACTTCAATCATTGATGAAAAGTCATGTCAAGATATCTTCTCTTCCTTGTACAATTCAAATGTGGAGAACACTACCGGTGACCCAAATGTAGGCAAGATTGTTTGTTTTTCTAAGACACCGCCCCCCCCCACACACACACCGTCTCTTTGTGTTTTGTTTCTCATGTAGTCTAGCCTGGCTCCAAACTCCCTGTACAGGGGAGGGTGGCTTTGAATTTCAAATCCTCCTACTTCTCCCAGAGTGCTGGGATTACAGGTGATGGCCACTGCACCAGCTTTGTGAATGCCAGGGAATCAATGTCAGGGCTTTGAACGCTAGGCAAGCTCTCCAGCCCCGGAGCTCCCACAAACAAAACCCTTCCTTCAGGTTTTTTAAAAGTAGCATCATACATCCTCATGGTCCTGTACCCTGAGACAGTTCAATACTCAAGCACAAAGTGCTCCCTGGTGCCACGATCACTCTGTAATTAATGATCCATCGGGTGTGATGCTCATGGCAGTTTGTTTTTCGACACAAGGTTTCTCTGTAGCTTTGAAGACTGTCCTGGAACTCGCTCTGTAGACCAGGATGGCCTCCAACTCACAGAGATCCACCTGGCTCTGCCTCCCAAGTGCTGGGATTAAAGGCGTGCGCCACCGCCCTCTGGCTAGGCTCATGTGTTTTAATCCAGCACCGCTGTTCGGATCCTACCAGCTAAGCCCTGGAGAGAATTTCCTCCAGCCCTCTTAACCGTCCTAGGACTGTCTTACACTTTGCTGTCTTCTATCTAGGGCTGTCTTACGCTTTGCTGTCTTGTATTTATCTCCTTCCATCCAAGAACATTACCTTTGCCTTTCATGTTGTGGACTGTTTCCTTTCCACAGTGCTCCCCTGGGCCTCAGGGGGGTGGCCCAGGCCTCATGCTTACTCCCCTCCCCCTCCCCCTCCCCCCTCTAGTGCTCTCCCTCTGAGCCACACCTCCCTCTGCTGACATTTTTTCAGACCTGTCCTTCGGCCCCTGTCGCCTCAGCTGTTGCTCTGTCATTCCTGCCCCTTTCCTGACAACACAGTGATCTTTCATTTGTTTTTTTTTATCATCTGGAAGCACGCAAAGGCCAGCAGACTTTGCAGGTGATGTTAATTTTTGTCACTCGGTTAAGACGTCTGATGTATTCACTATGTACTCAGTTTTTTTTTTCCCTCTTGTTTGCAGTGAATGCGCAGTCTGTGGGGAAAGAAATTGTAACTTTTTTTAAATAAGGAAGTATGTTTGACACTGATGGAAGGGAGGGAAGGAAAATTAATTATATGAACTCAAAAGCAGATGTTGAACTATTTGATTTCATTTTCCCCTCTTTACTGCATGTCCAAAAACTATACATTTTTTTCTAGGAAGAATATTTTAAACAGCACACTGTCGATAAAAATTAAAAGGAAGCCCTAGGTCTAAGTACTTCCACTCCAGACTGCCTTCTCAGTAAAGAAATCATTACGTAAATTCCATTATAACTAACAGGATTGTAGGAAAATGGTCCAAGGTATTTCTGACATCACAGATGGCCTATGGCAATACAATAGGACATTGAATTCTAGGCTGGTAATCACCTGGACATAAAAACATAAAATACAGAGGGTTTTTTTTTGTTTTGTTTTGTTTGTTTGTTTTGTGTGTGTGTGTGTGTTTCCATAAAGACATCTTGACTTAAAATGTTTTAAACCCCACCAATTGAGGGTATGTAAAAGCAAAAGCTATGACTCTAAAACCTTTTCCGTTTGTTTTAAAGGTAGTATAGATTCTCTCTTTAAAAAAAGAAAGAAAGAAAGAAAGAAAGAAAGAAAGAAAGAAAGAAAGAAAGAAAGAAAGAAAGAAAGAAAGAGCCCTGGGGAAGCCAAAGCCCGTCTTGCCTGGTTGTTCCACATCAGCTGACCTCGAGTAGGCCTGATGAGGAAAGACATCAGCAATTGATTTCCCTGCCTTTTGGCAAAGGAACGAGACTGCATTCACTTCATCTGTGCAGACAACTGCCAGCCATTTCCTTACTTCACAGGGCGCTAATTGTGCGGAGTGAGGAAAGGCCTGATGGGTGATGTTATTTTTATGGGTCAGACGGGCATGAGTAGTGGTGAAAGTTTGACATTTTTAGGACCCTACATTTTTGTATGTTGAGCTAATAAAAACAGGCTTATGCGATCGTTTCTCACCTGATTTTCAAGGAGACTTTTACACACTGAACACCAAATGTCAATGACAACTAGTAAGGAAACCTTGCTTTGACAAATGTTGTCCTTGGCCAAGCTTCCCTCAGGTTCTAAGGCCTCTTAACCAGCCCACAACACTGGCCCTCTTGCCTGTTGGATCTGTACAGGTTTTTACAAGAGTCCTGTTAGCTCTCTTGAGAGGAACCTCTCCCCACTGTCAATACGAAGCCAAATTGTTCACCCCCACAACTGGTGTAAGTGGTCATGTCTTACCTTCAGCAGGACTTAATGGGTCAACAGCTGTCTCCTCTTTCCCCCACCCTCCAATCCCTCCCGCCCCCCTATTCTGTTCTCTGGTTATATAGCCCTGGTTGCTTTTATGTCTGGGCTTGGCACGAAATCTCACCACAAACCAATAGTGTCGATACTCTTCTAACCCTGAATAAAGTTGTCTTTCCCATCTTCACAAATTCTGGGATAAAGTTTTCTTTTAACAGGTTGAGAGTGCAAATAAAAATCTAGAGAAGGAGTCCACAAAGATGGCCTGTGGACCAAATCCCTCCACCCCTGCTTTCGTATAGTCTTCATTTGAACATTTCTAAGAAGTTGAAAAAAAAAAAACCAACTGAATAGTACTTAGGGGCTTGTGACCCTAAAATGAAAATAAAATTAAATCTTCCTGGGATCACAGCAACTCCAATTTGGTTGTCTGTACTGGCTTTGGTGCTACAAGGAAACACTTATGAGCAGTAGGGACAGCTCTGGCTCACATGGTCTCTAACAGTGTCTGGCCCTTGGGAAAGGATTTCCTGTCTCTTGATGGGGGGTGGGAAAGGTGACGACGCTGGATCCACAATGCTTGTTCAAGTTCAATGACTTTGCAGCTGGGTAATGTGGCTCCCGGCACAGCTCTACCTCGTTACCATGACTTTTTAAGTTTGTTTATAAATATGGAAGTGAGATTGGAGACACTGAAATATTTATTTTGGCTTCGACTATGCTATTTCTTTTTCTTTATATACTACTTTTAAGAGTAGCAAGGAGAAAAGATAATGTACCATTTTACTTGGGTTTGGAATAGATGCATTAAACTTACAATTATGTCAACAGGCTTTAAAGCATTTGTCCTCTTCAATGACAGTATAGTGTCAAATCTTTTTGGCTTTCTTTTCCTCTTTCTTTCTTTCTTTGACAAATTAAAAGCAAATGGAAACCATTCCAAATTGGATTTAGTTGCCTAATGCTCATAGTTTATTTAAAATATTCACATAAAGGCAAAGTTAATAATTGAAGGAAAATAAACTTGCTATGCCCATTCATTACTTAGATTGACACACACAAGTTAGCAGATGA